AAAAACTCTCAAGTAAAGTGGCATGTCCAAAGCAAGAAAAATATCGAATGCAACATGAAAAATCATAAATAAATAAAATTTTCCAAGATAAATAAATAAATAACAAATATGAAATGTTCAACATAAATCTAATATTTGTCCCTTAAATGTCACTGCTCCCATAAAAAACGTAGATAAGTCAGCCTATGGTCAGCGAGCATCGTTACAAAAAACTCTTTCCGGGTCGAATCTTCGAGCAACTTTATAAATTACAAATACAGCAATATGTCCTCATAAATTTATGGAGTTGCATCCAAAATTCGCATAACTTGCTGGACAGAAGTTATTTGTGATGAGTCAGGGTTATTGATTCATAAAGCCACCAATTGTGAGATCTGACTTGTAAGGAAAGCAGCTCCCCACTTATTTCTATTCAACCTGGGGACGATTTCACCAGCTCGTGGTCTCAACTCCATGAAGGTCCAAACTGCGGCCTTCATTAGAATCACTTCTTTTATCAGCTCCCAAATTTTGGGGATGCCACCAAACCCCCGCTTCACTGAAGGCACATTCATTGTTGTCCATTGTCACGGCACCTCCAAACATCTGATCTAACTTCTCTAATTTCAGGATCCAATCCATTGTATTTAATTTTTTTTTTTTTTGCGGCAGACACCACTTATTTCAGGATCCAATCCATTGTATTTAATTTTTTTTTTGCGGCAGACACCACTTCTAAATTCATATAACATGTTGGTTTTGAAAACAAACCAAAGATTGACAATAATATGGGACATTTCGAAAATGCTCGACTCCAGTCTCTCTGCCCGCCACTCCTCGGAAGCATCAATCATTTGCTTTATTGTATCCCACCATAAGTCCGTTAATCCTCGGTTCAATTCCTTTCAGATTTTTCAAACATTCTTTAGTTGATCTCACTTGTTTTTTAACCGCATCCTATCATATTATCTGTTTATACGTTCTTTGAATTTTCTAATAGAATTTTGTCACTCGTCCTTGTTAAAATAGGTTGTCAGGTTATTTCCCAGTTCGACCTCCTAGTTGATCTTACTTGTTTTTTAATTGCATCTTATCATACTATTTGTCTGTACTTTCATTGAATTTTTTAATAGTATTTTGTCACTCTTCATTATTGAAATAGGTTGTCGGGTTATTTCCCAGTTCGACCTCCTATAGGCAAAGGTCGCAAAATATTATTTGTCTCTTTATCCCACATTGCAAATGAACCAACATCTTTTGTCTAAACCTAGAAATCAATTAATATAAATAGGAATGCCACAATATCATCACAAATGCCACCACCTACACACACAAACACCTCCACACACCAGCATGTCAAAACATTAACACATCCACCACACCACCATCACCATCTCCACACACCAACACCTCCACACTCAAACACCTGCACACAAACACAACCACACACCAACAACCACCTCCACAACCACACACCAACACCACCATACAGACACCACCACCTCCACATGTCAACCACTAGCACTACCTCATAATCAGCACCACACCACACCACACCACTTTCTTCAAACCATACACCGCCACCTCAACGCCACAAACAACCAACATAATTAGCACAACACACTACTTCACCACCTCCATATCACGTTACCCCACAACACACCATCACCTCCTCACAACCTACAACCAAAGTCAACACCCTCTTTCATCCATTTTTCAAATTCTCACACAAACATCAAAGATGATGGTAGAACCACTGCCCATATTTTTCATTTGAGGAAATTACATACAGGACACCGGAAACATTGTTATCTACAAATCAAGCACTAACTTTCATTATGTTTCAAATTCTCACTCAAAAATTAGAGGAGAAAAGATAAAACACAACTCCATATTTTTCAAATTATCGCTCAAAAATCAAGCATCCAAAACATTATTTATAGGGCACCCATATTTTTCAAATTCTCACTTGTTACATACAAGGCACCCGAAATAGTGTTATCTACATACATGGCACCCGAAACAATGCTATCTACATATAGGGCCCCCGAAACAGTGCATCTTACATTCCATATTTTTTAATTGAGGTAGTGACATATAGGGCACAAAAACAGTGCTATCTACAAATCAATCTCTCACTTTCATCCATTTTTCAATTGAAGCAGTGACATATAGGGCACCCGAAATAGTGTTATCTACATACAGAACACTCGAAACACCATTCTACAAAACCCTACAAATCACAAAATTAGCAAAAATTCTCATAATAACCACAAAAAAAAATGAGAAAGCCACAAAATGAGAAAGTTCAAGGTCGATTCCACAAAATTCTCACAAAACCCTATATATCGCAAATGAGAAAGCCACAAATTGCAAAGAGAAAGTCATTCCATCAAATATGAGCACATGAATTACATACAATGCATAATAACCAGAGAATGGTTGAAAAAGAGAGAGGAGAAAGGCAAGTTGCCACCGGAGAGATCGCTCGAGAGACGTGAGAGAAAAAAAAGATACCTAGGCAGCGGAGTAAAAACATTGCGAGAGCAATTGAGAGAGATAGCTAAGGAAAAAGAAAAGCGAGAGAGAGAGCCAAGACGTCAAGAGAGGGAGCCATGGGGCAGCGGGGTAACATATACATAAAGAAACGCGGGTCTCAGGGTCGAACCCAGGGCCGCTTTTTAGACAGATTATTTAGGAACGTCACCGTGCCACTAGTTCCAAACATTCCCAGCCACATTTTCAAAACACACCGTGCCAAAAATGCTACCCAAATTGGCCCTAAATTAATGTCTACATTATGCATAGGCACAAAAAATAAATAAATATATATTTGTTCGTTTTACATGTGAATGTCTGCATATATGTGCAAGTTTTATGTCATATGCGTTGTTATGTCCATATAACAATTTTCAAAGATTTTTCCATTTTGTATCCTTACAACATGTTGCATAGAAATAAGATCATTTGGTGAAAGTATAAGAGCATTCATTTAAAAAAATTAACAATATTGATTTTTATTAAAAATGAATGGTAGAGTCAATAGAATTCAAGAGCAAACTTTTGTTGCGTAGGCATTACGCACTAGGTTTGGCAAGAAAATTTTATAAAATAGAACGAAAGCAAACTTGAAATAACAAATCAAATAAATTGGAATAAGGGAGAATCTCATAGACTGTCTACCTTTAGTTCCTCAGCCATTAGTTTGTTATTTGTATTTTGAATTCCCTGCTTGATGGCAATCTTGGCAACTAAACTCTTCTCCCAAAGCTTCAGTATGGCAACCGTCAGACCTTGGTGGTGTCTATTTCTCCCTTCATCAAGATACAACCATAAACTCAAGAGGTCCATAAGATCAAGTAAAAATCATAGCCTACACTTCAAACCTTGGAATGAACAATACCTAAGGCAAAATGGCACGGAAGTCCTTTCGCAAGCTTGCGAAGATCTGTCATCTCCGAATTAGTAAGCCTTGAACGCATTCCCACTGGAAGAAGTCTGAAAGGAGTTTTAAATCCAGGAACAGTTTGAGGTAGTAAGTCAGCATCTACAGGCAATATCCCAATTCCCCACCAATCAACAAAACGAGGGCCCAATTCATCAAGTAATATATTGTACTCTGCTTCCTCCTCGGTCATGCTTTCAACAGGCTTTCTGATAATCTGAAATGGTTTGATATGATTTGAACTTGAAGATGAATCATGGTCTCTTTTTTCACTAGATAACATAGTAGCACTAGAAATATCTGGAACAAAATGTTGATCATCTTCATCTAGTATCTTATTTGAGTTCACTTCAATTTGAGAAATTTGGAACTTGGAAGGTCGTTTATAGTTGCTTCCTTGATAAACTATCATCACGCTGCCTGATCTCCATATAACCAATCCACCTGTTCGACGCTGATTAAAATTACAAAATGAGATGAGACTTCTTTTCATACATGAAGTGTGATAATGAGTAAGAAAAAATCCAAAGACACTAAATGAAGTGCTAAAAGAAAGACAACTAGTAGAAAGTATAATAATCAATAAGAACACAGAGATATCACTATCGTCATCCATGAATGAAGTTATAGATAACACAAAGTGTATGGCCATGCCATATCATTCTCCCACTACTTAAATCTCCCAAAATACGAACTAGTTAGATAATGTTTGAAGATTTTATTTTTAACATACATTCTTCAATCTCCTATATATTGTATAACCTACGTTCACAACAGAAATTTCCTTTTCCCATATATAAATGTATCTAATTAATGTATTAACAATTTAGAAGTAATATACACAAAACAACTCATATATTTTGCATATCAAGATTTGCAATTTCCTTAGGTACGCAAGTCTGTCTATTTTCATGACATTTATTAGATAGAATGTTGCAAAAGAGCACCAATGTCCATTCAGAATGCATGAGAGATAAAAAACATGCTCATTCATTGTCCTGAATTACAATTTATACATGAAAACCCATCAAGATAAAAAGTGAAACATGGCATCCTATGCCCGCAAGCAAGCTTCCCAAATATTAGATAATGCAAAACCATAAGTAAATCCCCATGTATCATTGACAAGATTGACAATAAGGGCCATTTAGGAGTGCTGATATCACATTTGTTTATTTTCAGAAAAACTAATCACCTGAAAAAGAGTAAAGCTTCACTCCCCAAACAAACTGCATATACACTGTAATAATCCTAATTTCTGTGTCCCTGCAATGGGGTCGGCAGAAAACCAACAAAAAAAAATCATAATATAAATAGATAAAATAAGATAAAAAAGATCTCCAACCTCAACTAGTTTATGCGCCGTTTTCATGTCACGTGCCAGCGCCTCATGGAACCTGAGCCGCACCAGCTCCGACTTTCGCCAGGTATCATGAATCTTTTCCAGTACAGGCTGAGTGAGCCCAGCCTTGGGCACGCTAATCCTCTCCCTCAGCGTCATCCCGAGCTGCCTCAGCCTCCTGAGCTCCGAATCTTCAATGGTAAGTTCCGCAAGCCACGGCGCCCTCACCCTCTTTTTCTTCTTCTGGTTCCCATCTTCTCCCTCCGTGAACTGATTATACCCGTCCCTCTCCCATGGCAGAACCGGCTGGTCCACGTACTGGGTATCGGGCCGATTCCAGCTTCGCTCAAGTAAATCTCCCAACCTCTCGCTGCCGTCCAACTGAACTTGCGGCTTCACCTCCACTTCTTCCATTTCATCATCATCATCATCTAGACCCAGACCTAGACTACGAAGCCGATGGACGATCCTGTCTATGGAGCCTCCTGCATCTCGGGTGGCTGGGGATGTCTGGGGTTCCGGGGTATTCCATTGCTGGATCCAGGAGGGAGTGGCGGTTATCTGGTTCGAATTTTCATCAAAACAGGCGTCGTCGTCCCATTTTGATTTTCGATGGAGGAAGGAACGACGAGAATCGGTTCCGGCGCCTCCACAGGACGTGCGTTCCGCGAAGTGGAGGGAAGCTGTGGTGGAGAATAGGAGAAGAAAGCGGCGGTGAAGGAGGCGGGAGAGAGAGGGATTGTTGCGAAGGGGCTTGGAAATCATGGAACTGTGGAAAGAGAGCTCTGATATCTTCACTGTTGAGAGAGCCATTGAAATTACCAGCGCCCGTAGATGAGAATCAACTTCACTTTCCCGGCATATCGGATATACGTCCTTGAAGTTCCAGCGAAACAGCGGAACCGGCACTCTTCTCTGGGAGTTTGGATAAGGAGCCGCGAGGTGAAAGCCCGTAGATGCAATGTGGTTGTCCGGACCTATCGAATAACTGGAAAATTATAAATAACAATTTTTACTGCTGATTTGAGCATGAGAATTAGATAATAAACCGGCCCGAAATAATATTTAGAGCTTATATTTTTTATTTGCTGCATTTGTTTACGGAAAATATAAAATTCAAGAGAGCTTGTTCATAGATAATCAACAAAATATTGACAATATTATAGTTTTCTATTTTTTTGATAATTTTCTAGTATAATGCATGAATAATATCTGGTGTGCCCAAATTTAATTTTATATTTTTTTATACGAAGCTGAATAAGTTTTGATGGTGCTATATGTTATATTTTCAAAAAAAAAAAAGAAATAGCTTTATGATAATCTACCATAATATATTAGGAGTTTGTTTTCGTACAGTTTTAGCTTTACTTAGAAATTTATTTAGTTCAGGCAATCTTTGTTTAATGAAGTAGATGTGTATTGCCTCACTTCTAAAGAGAAACTATAATCTATTACCTCTAAATGTTGAAATTAATGTTTTATGTTTATTTAGATAACCTTTTTCTAGAAATATTAAACTTTATTACACTTTTTTTGAATTTAAATAGATGTGTATTATCTGTGTATTGATCAAATATTATACATTTGTTTGAACCAAAAACTGAAATCATTATTTTATTTTATTTCAGATTAACATTGTTTAGAATAAATTTAATTTTATGCAGTTCTTATTCAATAAAGTGGATGTGTGTTGTCTCACTTTTGAAAAAAAAAATTATAATTAACTACCTTTAAAAGCTAAAATTATTATTTTATGTTGTTATAGTTACATTTCTTTAGAAATATTATGACATTATTACATTTTTTTTTGCTTTTAAATTGATGTGTATTATCTAGACTTTGAAGAAAATTTCATATTTACTTGAATGAAAGTTCATATAATTATTTTATTTTATTTTAAGTTAGTTTTGTTTAGAATTTTTTAGTTTTGTTTTGAAATTTTTTTTTTTTATGCAAGTCTTTGTCAATAAAGTAGATGAGGATTGCTTCAAGTTGGAAGAAAAACATACAATTAACCCCCTTTTAATAGCCAAAATCAGTGTTTTATGTTGTCCAATCCCTAAACTCTTAAGAAAATAGTGCATTTACATAAATTGATCATAAAATAGTTTTTTTGTTATGTTTTAGGTAACTTTGTTTAAAAAAATTTAGATTTTATTTTATTTCTACCACTAAATATCATATGTGTAAATTATGCAGGTATGACAGAATGATGTAATCCCAAAGCGTTATAAATAAACTGTAGACAAAACTGTTGGCTATCATTGTTCACAATGAAAATAAAAGCATATGATTTGTATTGTGGTTATGCACACCAAACTGAATTTTAGTGTGAGGAAGGACCATGTCAGCTATTGGCCAAATTCAAATAATATAAAATTAATTGATTTTTTGTGTGCAAGATTGAATTTGAAAAGAGGGAATAAACTTAATAGCATATTGAAATTTAAAAAATCAGACACCATATATGGTTGTGCTGCCATGATTAGATATGAAGTTAACCCTGATTGTAGTTAAAAGATGAAAAAATTTAAAAAAATTCATAATCATTCATAGTAGAGCCAAGTGATCAATACCTTTTGAGATCGAGTGAGGCATGTGTTGAAGAGATGCATTTAATTTTATTCGGAAGAAAAAATGGGAAAAGATTGAAAATGGTGATAATAGTTCTCTAATGCAACTATTCACAGAAAGACAGATTAAAGATACTATATTTGAGTGAGATTTCTAAATTAATGATTGATACGTTAAAGTGTTTTTTTTCTCGAGTGATGGCAGTCAAGGGTTGATTATTTAAATTTTGTTGATGTCATGATTTTTTACACAAGTTATCATTTTAATAAGTACAATTTGTGGGTGCACCTTCTATTGGAGTTAATCATCATTAGCAAAATGTTCTATTCAGAAAAGCCTTCTTATCAAATGAGACAATTGTTCAAATCGTTATTCAGAGCATTCCTTTATATAATGTATGACAAACATCCCTTAACACCAACTCATCATAGACTATGCCAATGGCATATATCTAACAAAACTCTTTTAAAGGTACATTACTTCAATGATAATACGATATTTCATAATCTAATTTATAAATGATTGAGTGCATGTGATACAGAAGAGGAGTTTGACCAAGCATGGGCTTAATTGCTGGAAAAATATAATCTTCATGATCATGAATGGTTGAACCAACTATATAAAATTAGAAATAAGTAGTCAATGTCATTCAATAAAAATTCATTTTGCTAGGGAATCTTATCGACACAATGTAGTGAGCCTATGAATATGTATGTCATAGTATTTCTAAGGCTACTAGTTCCATTACAATTTTTTTTTTTTTCGGAATGGAGAAAATGGTGTCTTTATGGCAATGAAATAAGCATGATGAGGATTTCAAATGTAATTAGTCTGCAATTGCTCCAATTATTGAAGGCATTGCCACGTTTAAGCAAACAGCTGCTTTCTACTCCAAAAAGTTGTATGAATTTTTCTGAACAGGAATTTCTACATTATGTCGATGGGCTAGCTTTGGAAGTATCTGATGATAATCCCCCAAAATATTATCTATCAAATTTAGAGAGTAAAGGAGCATCTAAAACTTGGAATGTTAATTTTGGAATAAATATGTTTGATATAAGTTATAGTTGAAGGATGTTTGAAATGATGGGATTACAGTGTGCTCACTATATTAGAGTTGTAAGTCTTGAAATTTAGCAAAGATAATAGAGAAGTATTTCCTCTTGCGTGGGTCTTCAAGTGCAAAGCAAGATATCTACATTGGTGATGGTTATAACAACTTAAAAGAGTTACAAGCTAAGAATGGTTCTTCAAGTGGTAGCATATTTCAAAACTACATTAGTAAATTTTCAAACCAAATAAACATGAGGGAACAAGGCAATGAAGTAGTCGAATAGTATATGTTTGAGAAATTGAAGCAGTTGTCTTCGATGACGTTGAGTTAATATTATGTGGGAACTTGCCTCCTTTCAAGCAAAAGAGTAAGAAAAAAAATTGAAGATAATGCTTGCACTATCAAGTTGAAAAATCCAACGAAGATGAGACCAAAAGGTGCATCTAATGTCATATTGGTTGGTCCTTGAGAAAAAATAATGAAAGTTAACTATAAAAATCTCACTGCATCATAGCTTCTAAAATCTATATTGTATGTTCCCACTTTTAGTTATTCTATGTTCCCCTTTCATAGAAAAGAAATAAAAAACTATAAATGCTACAGAGCACATTGACTCTCGAGTTGTTAACTTTCTAAATGCTATAATTTTCACTACACTACCTCAGTGCTTCTCAGAGGTATCGTGTCAACCATTTTTCTTGTCCATTTATTTTTAAATTTAGTCCCTTGATTTAACTAATAAAAATGATTACATATTATTAGGAATTCTATTCATCTTCAAGTGTAAGAGAGCCATCGGCAAGATACAAGCTATTAATGGATATCATTTCTCAAATAAATTCCTAAATTCTAAACTAGTAGATATAAAATGGTTATGTTTGTATTGTGGGTGTTGAACAGTTAAGGAAGATTTGTATAACATGTTACATGAATAACTTTAAAAAAAAATATTCAATCATGTTATAGGTAATTGACATGAGAATTTATTGCATTTTCTCAGCATTTTTCTGAAGAAGTTTAATTTAGATCTTCAAAACTTTATAAAATAAACCATGAATGCTCAACTTGAAAATAGTTCCTATAATTCTATAAAATGGTTTCTCTTCAACAAACAATCAATAAATATCAAGAGAATATATATATTATTTCATAAATCTATCGTATTTATGAAGAAACATATCCTTATTTTACATAGTAAAAATATTTTGGTTTTGTCAAACTTAAAAAAAGCATGTAGTTCAATGATCAATCCATACACATAATGAAAATTGCAAATTTATTAAATTTTGTCAACCTTTTTCTTCAGATAGTTGTGGTCGGGATTTTGAAAAATAATTTTAATTTAATATATATATAATTTTGAAAAATATATTTTGATTTAAAAAATGAGACTAATAAGATCTCATACATTTTAATAGTTTAAATAATCAAGCACAACACTACAAGTAATGCACCTATCCCGATGAATATGCACTTTACTAGACAACGGGCTCGATTAAATAAACTAAATGATTTATGACATTTGTTTGATCCACAAGCCTTTTTTATGTGATTAACAAGTTCCCTTACCTAATATAAAAATTAGATATGGCTTATATTACATGGGTTATGAGTTCCCTATGAGAGCAAGCTACTATAGTTAATTATATCCAAAATGACTGAAGTCACTTACCTAATATAAAAATTAGATATGGCTTATATTAAATGGGTTATGTGTTCCCTATGAGAGCAAGCTACTATAGTTAATTACATCCAAAATGACTGAAGTCGCTTAAAAAAAACTCTCAATAAAATTTAGAAGTCTTTGTCATTGGACATGAAAAATCAAGTAGGAAAAGACAAAATAGAAGCAGTTATTTTTGGAATCCAAAAGAACGAGAGGTTGGGGATGTCACAAATCCTGAGAAGAACCTCTGTGACTTCCCAAACTATTCTATTATTTGGCTTAAATTTTGATGATGATATTACTTGATATTTTAATTATACCAATTTTATTATTTAGGGCTTACACTTGCATGATACCCAAATCATGCAAACATCCTACAAAGATATGAGGGTTTACATCTTAACGAATGACAAACTCAGAGCCAAAAGAAAGTTGAGACTTCTATTACATAACAGGGTTGTGCAAAAGCCTAAAGATAAAGTGACGATTTAAGCTATGCTAGATGAACAGCCTCAGAGTCCTATGAGTTATGTTATTTTAAACTAAAGAATGTTTAGTTGAAGTAGAGCTTGTTTCATGTCGAGTCTTGATTCATCGGCGGATGTCTTTTATCATGCACTTGTATCCTTGTAGTGATGCCCAATAGTTTGCTCTGAGCTTCAAATCGTATCGATTATGGGTTTAAACTTTTTGT